CGCTTATGTCCACCAAGACGCAAGACGAAGTTAGCACAAATTCAAGCGTAATCACAGTGCAGACAGGTGCACCATATGGAGCGGAAGTCCTGAACATACCCATATCATAAGTAGCTGATTACAATATGATTTATCTGAGTATAAGCTTGAGTGACAGAATAAATAGGCCAGGTATCACAACCACGATGACTATGTGGGAAGTTGGTGATGGCTAGAAACAAGCTTTGATCTACGAAAAGCTGCAGGCGGGTTTACTCATTATCTGATACCCAAATGGATAATCCTTCCTGGCCAGCTGAACGACCTTCCTATAGGCCTAGAAACCTAACCCGTGCATTCAAGTCTTCAGCTAGCACTACGATATCTGTTGAGAGCACCTGAGGGATAAGGTAAAACTCATCCCTAGCCGCATCCGGGCTCCAACCAGTCAGTGCATAGACAGAGACAAGGAACAGCCACCGAATTCCTTATAAGCCATTCGTCACTCTAATAGAATCTTCTAGCTTGGCAACAAAGACAAGGCATCACAAACAAAAAAAGGTGATTCGACTTCAAAGGAAATCTCTTTTATTTATAGTTACCAATAGGTTTATTAATCCTCATTACATGTTACATTAGTCCGTCATGTTGTTTGTTGATCCTGGCTAATCTCTCTATGTCTTACGACAGAGGTCTTATTTTTTCTGCTGATTCTCATTTGTTGCACTATTTGGTAAGGTGACAACTTGGACTTGAGCCTTACCGTGTTATTCTTCAGGTTCATATGGTTATTTGTTGAATCCTGCTCTCAAATGTAACTGTTAGAGGACAGCTTATGTTTGATTGAATCTTGTGCACCAGAATCGTGTGGGGGGTTGACACTTCCCGGTCTCCTACATCGTGGAAGGCTACTTCTTCTTTAGGTATTTGAAAGAGAAAAAGATTTATGTGACCACAGAGCCCATGAGACATCTGCCTGGAACCTATCACATACACCTTTTTCAGGATTGTTGTTAAGATTTGATTATTCTAACATCAGATAGAGAAAACCTATACAGCCGGCATGTGGAGACAGTGGGGCAGGAAGAAATGTGCTATTTTAGGCATCAACCCTTTCTAGCCCTCGTTTCCCATAGGGAAACCAACATCAGGGTGGTACTCCTGGTCACCCAAGGGAAGCACTCTACTGCTACTGAACTCCATCCAGTCAGCGGTACAACTTTGCCGTCGGAACCATATCACAGTGTACCAATTTACACCACAACGCTAACTTCTTTCTGTCTAACGACTATTCAACAAACCTTCCTGGCATGGTGGAACCTCAAGAAAAAACAAGAGTCCCAGTCATTTTAGCCCGTGGGGTCCGACTACCACGTCAAAGTAGCAACTATTTTTTAAACTTATGCTTGAATACATGTGAACAAGGGTGACCGGTAACGTTTAACTTGACGTTAAACAACGAATACACCGACAAAGAGTAGAACAGAAAGAAATCAAGTTTAAATCACATATGTCAATGTATAAATATACATTCGGTTAATGCATTGTGCAACAAATGCTATCCGATATTAATTTGTGAAACCTACTAATCATCTGCTTATGATTGTTATCTTAAGAGAAAATATTATATGATATCAGAAGTGAACAGCTATCTAACATATTAATTTTACTTTGAGCTTAGAAGAGACCATCAGTTCAGTTAGTTAAAAATAACGGTACAAATTTAAATATGCCAAAAGCCAAGCAAAACTTCCAGTTTTCCTGAGCTCGAATAACGACCATTTATCGTCATAAATGTAAATAAACAGGTAAGTAAAGCATCTGGAACTATCATGTTAACAGTACAGTTTCATCTCAATAAAAAAAGCAATAGTTTGCATGGTAAATGCAGTCTAAGATGCATGTTCCTAAACAAATGATTGAATGAACTATTCAGAAGGAGGTTACGGTGAAATAAAGGATCACTAACCATGGAAACTTCTACAAAGCTACGGTTAGCCTTCACAACAATAAACATCTTAACGGTCGATATATGACTGTTATTATTGAAACACAAACTTACTACAACACGAGCACCAACATTCTTGCCATAAAAACAATAAAGCAACGCTATAAATACATGGGAAACAGGAGAATGGAAACAGAAACATAAGTGGGTTACTGAGGAAGCAGTTTCAAAGATACATTCGAGGGAAGACCAACTGATTTCGTTTCACTTTTGAGTATTAGAAAGGACGAGAAAACTACAGAATGGTCACCACTGGTTCCGACTCTGAGATATTTCCACTATTGTCGCACATTACTGAGTTGCACGATTTATCAGACTCCATCTAGAGTCAAGAGGCACCAACAGATTCCAACCGAACACGACTATCCTTCAGCTCACAGCCTTATATCATATACTGATCACCTTTCCGCTTCTCCCTACTAGTTATATGACAAGTGAACAGTGAGCGATGTAGGAGCAGCTAGAAAGATACTCGTAACACTGTCCAATTCAGTGTTTCAAGATGATCACCCTCAATCAATTACGATCTCCATCACGCCAGAACACACGGTTCTTCGACTGCGAATCACTAAAATGGTTTTCCGCCGGACGCAGGCAATGCTTCAGAGACCACGGTGATCAAGCACGCAGAGTCGTCAAAACATCGTCAGTTGAAAAGGTCATGTTTCGCAGTCATAGAGCAGAACCGCTCGTAGCGATGGACCATATATACAACCTTTTACAGTAAGGTTAACATGACAACGGTGCCAAAAGTGACGATAGTTGGCGAATCCCACCCTAGTTTTCGATATGCACTCAATAATCTCATCCACCAGCATTCAAACTAACCAGACACACCAACTCTCGACTCACCACCAAATGTGGGTGCAAGTACAGCCTCCTGCCAACCTTATAGATGCGTTTTGCACTCTGTCGGTAGGAAGTACATATCACATTTATAGACAGTGATCACTAACTGGGCAGCCTGTATGTTGTCACACAATAAAATGATATCGTCCACATACTCAAGGACGAAAATCCTTTCATTTTATTTACATCACCAACACACCTCCACGCCTGTCTCCAAAATGTCATCGATGACGGAGTTAAAGAAGGATGTCAAAACTGGGCAGCTCTGACTAACCACATTATTGGTTTGGAACATGGAGAGAGGTAGCTGTAAGCCTCCGACCAACCTAAGGTGCTGGCGTTTATAAGGCTCTCAGGATGCAAACAAACTGTTAAAGAAAACTTCCTCTAACAAATAATTCTAGAGCACAGCTCTATCCAATGAATCGAAGGTAGCCTTAATAATGAGAATTGCAGCAATACGTATGACTGTCTTCGAGCGACTAGCGGAGGTCAAACGCGTGGCTAGTGCATCTATGACTTGAACGAACACCAACACGCTCCTCACGGATCAGATTCGCACACCTTTTGAAGATATCATCCAACACTTTAGGTCACGGCAATCTGACACCGGTAATTATTACATACATAAACTCTTTTTGAAAATGAGTACAACAATGTCTTCATTCCAAAGTGGCGGAACACTCATTCTGTGGTACCTCAAACAGTTTGGTCAATTCCCTGATCGCATTCACCCTTAAAAAGAGCTGGACCAGGTCGAAATAGACCAGAAAGCACTAGGAAGTTGAAAGCAGCTCGCACAGACCTGGTGCTTTATAAGCGAAACTTTTATCAGAGCTGCAACCAGATGTATCTCCAATTTCATGGCATCTTTTAAGTGCAACCAATACTAATCTGCACTTTTTCGAGTTTCTGCAGCTAGCTTTCAACCTACTTATGTTTGCTATGTTGCAATACTACGTCCAACCAGTTCGCTTATGTCCACCAAGACGCAAGACGAAGTTAGCACAAATTCAAGCGTAATCACAGTGCAGACAGGTGCACCATATGGAGCGGAAGTCCTGAACATACCCATATCATAAGTAGCTGATTACAATATGATTTATCTGAGTATAAGCTTGAGTGACAGAATAAATAGGCCAGGTATCACAACCACGATGACTATGTGGGAAGTTGGTGATGGCTAGAAACAAGCTTTGATCTACGAAAAGCTGCAGGCGGGTTTACTCATTATCTGATACCCAAATGGATAATCCTTCCTGGCCAGCTGAACGACCTTCCTATAGGCCTAGAAACCTAACCCGTGCATTCAAGTCTTCAGCTAGCACTACGATATCTGTTGAGAGCACCTGAGGGATAAGGTAAAACTCATCCCTAGCCGCATCCGGGCTCCAACCAGTCAGTGCATAGACAGAGACAAGGAACAGCCACCGAATTCCTTATAAGCCATTCGTCACTCTAATAGAATCTTCTAGCTTGGCAACAAAGACAAGGCATCACAAACAAAAAAAGGTGATTCGACTTCAAAGGAAATCTCTTTTATTTATAGTTACCAATAGGTTTATTAATCCTCATTACATGTTACATTAGTCCGTCATGTTGTTTGTTGATCCTGGCTAATCTCTCTATGTCTTACGACAGAGGTCTTATTTTTTCTGCTGATTCTCATTTGTTGCACTATTTGGTAAGGTGACAACTTGGACTTGAGCCTTACCGTGTTATTCTTCAGGTTCATATGGTTATTTGTTGAATCCTGCTCTCAAATGTAACTGTTAGAGTTAAACTTTAAGAGTTCTATAGTTAGCGCCTTCGCAGTTTACCAGATCAATACCAGTTTATGGGTAAAAATTTAAAGCATGCATAACTTATATCATGTTTTGAAAAAGGTCCTACTTTCAATTTACATGGAACAAACAGAAAATTTTAAAAAATTCAAAATAGTTTGTGAATTAGTTAAGTGCTTCAAAAAGATTAGCTAAGATTGAAGTTTGAATTCCAGTTTGTTTTTTTCGGTTAAAAAAGAAAAAAACCTTAGCGCTTGAAACATGAAACGATTATTTGTTTCTCGATATGAACACTAATTTTGCAGACATTATTCACTCCCATCGAAACTTGCAATCAAGAAAAAACGAAGCACGAAACACCAACGTTGAATTTTCCTGATTCAATCCACATCACGAACAATGAATAGAATCAAGTTAGCTTGATTGACCAGTAAATTTGCGCTGCTGAAAACCACTGTTTGGCTAAAAAAGAAAAACAGTTTGAACTTCAAAAAATTACTGACGTCAAAGTAACTCAACATCATAAACTGTAGTTATGTGAACATATTCTGTTCTAGATAACATACGACCAATAAGTTTTAGGTTAAACCCCAACTTTAACAGTGGACGTTTGAACAAGAAAGTAACATTATCAACTCTTTCCCACAACAGACGTTAACTTGTAGACTAGTACATGGAAGCTTGCAAGTGAATATTCAGATGCAAAACATATGTGACGAAAACGAACCAACTACAAGCGATTTCAAACACACCAGTTACAGAAAACTTCACCAATTCCACTTAGAACTTCTCTAACAGTAACAACAAGTGCGCTTTTTGTATTCAAAGGAAATTACAATGTGAATCATCTTGAATTAGAGAAATCATAAAAAATATCAATCTGGATAACAGTCAAAATCGGATCAAATAAAGCTAAACAGTGTCTGTTAAAAAAGCGAAATAGCCAGTAAGTAATACAAATATGAATGTGTCATGTTAATCACAATGCCAACAGAGTTACGAATAATAATTTCACTCAAAACTTTTAGTTTACAAATGATCAGGTGTGATGGAACCTGTATGCTGATAGTTGCTTGAACTGACGACAGTTGTTTGCAACCTGACATCCATCTTATTGCTAATTTTTGCAAGAAAACTTAAATATTCATCATACGGATGCATCCCAACTATATATATATATATATACGCATAACAAGAAATCAGTCGAGAAGCTACGACTTCAGACTATGAAGTTCTTCCATAACTTATACCTAATACATTGCTATATTTGACCTCTAATTATTTAGCAAAATAGTTAGGAAAGCAAACAATCTTACAAACAGAAGAACAGTATTACGTTACAAGATGAGAAATGAGATTTTGAAGTCACTGAAAGACTTGACATTTTACTACCAAATACGTTGCGAATTCCCTGTAGACTATCAACGACAGAGTTTACTTTGAATAACTAACATACAATAATGGACAAAACGCACCATATTTACAGATTAAATATTTCACACTAACTCGTTGTTTCTAAAATACTGCTTTAATGTATCACTAAATTTACGACAATAATGAATGAATTTCCTTTTTTGATCTTCAAGACATTTCTTTTGTGTCCCAGGCGGCAGTGCATCGTAAAATGCGCCAACGGCAGCCAACAGCATCTTTATTGCATCCGCTATACCTCTAACTAAATAGATTCTACTAGATATTCTGGTTACTTAATAACTTCTATGAAAGCCCGTCGATCAGTAATTTCATCAGGTATACTGCTAAGAATTGTTCTTAGCGTTTTAGCTGTATGTTCCAACTCCAAAACTCGGGGGTTTCTTGAAGTTCTTGGGTGATCTGAAACGTTACAGAAATTTAATTATAATTAACCATGTTACCAAACTCCTGAAGAGCCGCAATCCGTAAACACATCTCAGTCACATCAATTTCATTATCGACTCCCATCCGTTGGAGTAATCCAACCATAAAATCCTTGCTGAACCCAGGATATCTTTTCTCAACCTAGTACAGTTCAAAATACATATGTCCAAACTCACTTTGTAAAAAGCTTCCTTTAATCGGTGAGTTAGTGCATAATTCTCCCTTTCCATCTAAATGAACATTAAATCTATGAACGGACACGACATACTTTAGCAAATGTGGGTTCAAAAATGACTTGTTTCCCCCGAGAAGAATTCCCAGCTCTACCAGCAGGAGCGATTGCAGCTGGCCACCTACTTCCAGCCATATTGTAGAAGTGAAATACAGTTTCCTAATAGGAATACTGTTTTCACTATGAAAATGCTCTTTGAAAACAAAAAGGGCACACAAAATGTCGCGTCTGAAAAACGGATTTTGAAATGAATACAAAACATTTGTTTCTATAAACCCTAAAACGTAAACGACTTCGGATAACAAAATACAGATAAAGCTATTACTAGGCGGGAATTTATACCAGAAAACATTCAACAGCTAACACAATCAAAATATCAAGATAAAACGTCTAGTTCCTAGAAATTCATGCCTGTCTTTACTTTGAGTACGACTAGCAAGTTTAATTCTATCATAAACTTACTGAAAAGCATGACTTCTAGTCATGAAAACCAGTAGGAATCAGATTTCGACTTTACAATCTAGTTAACTTTCTCTAGTGAAACATACAAGCGCTTAATAGATAGATGAGCCCAAATAAGTAAACTCGATAGTGAATATAAACTGATGGCAAACACCTCTCTCTCCCAGCAAACAGTAAATGAAAATTTAACCAGAACCTAAAAAGTGCGTGTACGTGCATAACTAGGTTCCGCTTCCATGTTAAACCACCAAAATAATTTACTACAACAGAATTACATAACTTCTTCATAAAGCCACTTAGTCCTAGATACTTTTTAAATCATCAGTATGATATATTAGTGTGCTACTAATTCTAGTTCCTCAAATGAATATATAGCTTGTGAAGAGTCAACAATGGTAAATATTGAAATATGATCCTATTGAAAACAGGCTCCAAAATAATGTACCAAGCAAGTGCACTTTTATACACTGAGTTATGTCATACCTATTTTGAGAGCTGGTCATACAGGCTGGACGTTCTAACTTCGGTAGGGGAGATCGGGTTCTAGCGAGTGAAAACCAAGTTTCCACATAATTTTAAATTTCAATTTCGAGAGGTCTGCATTCCAATCAGAGAACGAACAATAACTTTTCACGCGTTAATCACTATGCTAACGCACAATGAGTCCTACCTATGCTGTAACTCGTTTACTGATCAAGAATTATGAGTCACAAAGCACATATATTATTAGCTAATCGAAAGACCCTGCTGCATCAATGTAAGACCTTACTGATGTCCGTAATACTCTAACCGCTAGATTTAAAGCTTCATTATTCAACTGGATCTTCACTACCAGTCATCCGTCAGTCGTTACGCCAAGTGATTCAATAAGAGTAGAGAGAAACTGTAAGGAGAAATGAGTTGTCATCAACATCACCCACATAGACCAAATACAGGTAGGACAAAACTCTACTAAATAAGCAACCTTAACTAAGTGTTCTCAACGGATATTGTGGTACTAGCTGCGGACAATGTGTAATCTGAGTATCTAGGTCTGATGGTGAGTAATTAAGGTGGACGTCTTGACAGCCAGAATAATTTTGGTTTAAAACAGCTGCATGAAAGCAGATCCGATAACTCCTAGCAAACTAACTTCATTACGTTCTTAGCGAAATCGATACAGTTAATACTACTTAGTCTTCTATGAGAAACGTATAATGTGATACTGTGGTTGACTCCAGATAATGAGAATGTAGCTCACTGGCTTACACATGCAGCTTTCAAACAATTGGCTCTGGGTTCGATTTATAATCCACAAACTTCAGCCCGTGACGACGGCAGACAACAATCCCCTAGTGTGACAAATGTGGCTGATGGCCTACTACATAAACATGTGGAGTTATGGTTTATTAGCTTAGGGAGTCGGCTTTCAATCAATGGGCCGTGTTCGGTAACTACTACACCTACCGAGGTTTGGATAGCCAAGTAGTATCATTAGCCCCCACATAATAGGTGTGGTTTATGGCCTACTGCACAAATGTGCAAGAGGTTGCTGAGTGGATTTCGATCTTAAACATGTATTAATTTCGGTCACATCATCTACAACAAATAAAAAGCTCATATCAATAGGTGTTTAAAAGGAAGAAACGGTCTCCATCAGACATTGAGAGCTAAAATGAGTCATCCCTCGTTAAAATTTCGCGGTGTAACAAACCCCAACCAAATTATGAGGGTCTGAAATACCAAAATCACCACTCAGTTTAGGGTCATAGTAAGAAAATAAGTTGTAGAAATAACACAAAAACCACCTTGCGTTAGTTGCATCACAAGCATAGAAAGGAATTATCGGAAGAAGTTATTTGTCTTGCAAGTAACTTGATAACAAACTTGAATAACACAACTGACACTTAGGTTTGAAAAGCTTCCATAGTCGTATTTCAGAACAGATCCAGTTCAAATCGATTGGTATACTAGATTTCTATACGTGTGAACATGTTAAAAAAGCCGTAAGTGGTCTCAAAAAACTCATAACCAGGTTATAAGTGCCCTTAAAATAATTAATAAACATTAACAAATGCGTTGCTGAGCTCGTAACGTCGCGGCTAAGAAAAGGACAAGTGAACTTAATATGAAGTTCACTTTTGTCGCATTTATTTGATAGTGGTCATGTGATAGATAAGACCGAAGAATTTAAAGTCTGTTATCCCCTTCCACAAGATCTTTCGGATAGAATTCGTACTCGCATATTACATATATCTGAGGCTATGGAAATAAGAGAAAACAATCCGTGTGTGTGCAGAAAAAAGTTGGAAAGTTTTCATCTCTGCCATGATCAGAGGAGACTTGATCAATAACTCTAGAGATAAACTGAATTTTTATCCGCTTTTTTCACTATTCGGACACATGCTATTTGTTTTGACCACGATTATCTAGACATATCACCTTTTATTATTGCGCAACTCCTATTTTCCTAAGTTTTGACTTACACTGATTGTCTAAATGCCTGCAGTGCCAAGTTGATCTGACTATTTTTATCAACGCTGAGATCATTATTACTTATACCATTATTATTACAAGAATACTTACTGCTTGTTACCATACATCAAGGAATTCACCATAACTGGCTTTATGTATCATATATGTGAAAAATTGTGTTAGAGAAAAGCCTGACGGTAGCAAAGTGAAAAAAGTATAGTTTGCTCACCAAATTTGGCAAGTAAACTATACATTACCCAGTTAACTGGGTATCGAAAGCTTCGGGACAAATAAAGGGCCAGGCGTGGGGTTTTGCAACATTTTCCCTACATCTGACCAGATGTTCTCTGGCCCTATGTCTAGCCCTAAGATTTTACAAATGGCTTCACATACTGATTGTTGGACCTACATCTGGAGCCACATCAGATTTATGGTCCAACGCTAGGCCCAACGTTGCCTTGTTTAGTCACACGAAATTGTTGACTGGGTGGGTTACTTGTCTTCTTAAAACAAATATGAAACGATAGCCACTACAAGGTCCAATAAATATTTTCCCTTCCCTAGATCGAAGTCCCTTTTTGACTTAACCTTCCGATTCCATAACTTAAACCACAGAAATATCATATCCACTCACAGACTTGTGACTACAGTCACTTTGTGTCTTTTGACGCTTTCGGGGAAAAATTTCGGGCACACCTTGAGACTTTTGACACTATGGGGGAAAAGGTTTGGAACATTCGGGAGATATCGTGCGTCACCTGATATGCACCCGAGGTAAAAAGTTCCAGGTTTTAGCTATAAAGTTACAAAGTGCGCCCGAAGTAAATGCTGGCTGGCTAGGTGAGTGTACACAAAAAAGCTTAACCAAGAGCCCTACTCATCCAACATACCATCTTAGGAACAAAAACATTTACTCCAAATTTGCTTCAGTTAGTAAAACACTTTAACGCTAGCAGACAATTTTCTGACTCACCACATCGTCGTTAGAATCACTTACCCAAACTGTTCCGCTCACCTTGAATAATCCGGCTTTTGTAACGTCCTACAATAATCTAATGTTCAATACCTTGTTAAGACCAAGTGTAAGCCATTCGATTTCTTCTCGCTTATGGGACGAGTCAAGGTATTTGGTGGATTTCAATGCAACAGACCTACCTACTCAACAGCTGTAGCTCTGGAATACCCGACGTGCGACTGAATATTAGTTAAACCTGTTAGGGCTTACGTAATTTGTCGTAAGATAGTAGGGTAGATAGGTTACTCAAATGTCGTATCATGATATAGTTTTTCGGAATCGCCACAAAAGGCAGACAGGAAGACTGAACGGATGTCTGGGTAAAACGAAGTAGAGAAAACAAAAAAATGCAAGCCGAAAATAAGGGGAAGGGGAAGAGAAACGTAGGTAAGTTAGCGGAAAATAGGAAGAGAACTACATTCATTACAACCTTAACAAAAAAACCTAGAAGAGCAGGAACAAGCAAGATTGTGCCAGTCATAACGGGAATCAAAACAGGGATGTTGTTAGCGAGGGTGCTCTAACTGGAGTTGAGAAATCTGACGGGGAAATATGAAGTCCGAGATAAACAAAGTGTAAGCATGCACTGGTTTTCGCCCTGTTGTAGGCTGTTCTTTTCCGGCTACCATTAGGGTTGTCACAGTGGACGTTCGTTAGGATCCGCCTGTTTGGATAACTTGAATCACTTATCATTTTGCAAGTCGCACCTTCGGTAGTGAATGTCTACATGTAGGTTTTCACCAGGAAATTTTATGCTCGTTTATCTGGTGAGATCAGTTAACCTTTTGTAGTTCCTGTCTTTGTAGGCAACGATAAGTAAGCATTATCCCAGGGTCCTTTTCCTCCACACTTTGATATCACCCGTAAGTAGCAGGGTACACTTGGAAGTTTGAACGAGGGGTCTATTTATGAGTTGGGGTGGCCCAATTATCGCTCCTTAAGAGATCCAGCTGTTGTGCAACTGTAACTAAGCTATCTAACACCCTGGACAGCATGAACAGTAAAGCCCGTCAGGTTGTAACTGCACGCCTTTTTGCATTCTCATCCCTCGAAGATTGGTGAGATGGTGGCGCAGTTCCATTCTTTGGGTGATTGGCCCACTCCCAACAAGCGCATGAACCGATTGCATATCAGTATGCTAAGCGACATGGCAAAATTTTGTGGGACCACCGGTTTTATTTCTATTATAAGCGCGGACAGTTCT